GCGCGAGGATTTTTTCTACTTTTGTGAGAAGTTTACCTAAGAGCGTGTATTTAATGTGTTGAGCGGCCACTGTGAATGCAGGAAATAGAAACTAAGATAAAGAAAACGATTTTCGGAGAAGTAAAGGTTGCTTCACTTTACATCTAAGAGAAATATTCAACCGATATGAAATCTTGTGACGGTGAAAAAAGAATCAAGTGAAGGATAATCTACCTGAAGTGGAAGAAGACTTTAAAACTTCAAGGAAAATAATAATTATGATATAGCCAGAAGTCGTGTGTAGGATTTTTAAGATGAGCCCGGGAGGCTGTCTTCGACAGCTGTTTAATGATTTTCTTAGCAGTAAACGTCTGTAAACATGACAGTACTGAATAACGCATACGCATGCATTAGGTTTTGCTGCAGAAACCCGGACTTTGAGTTGTTCACATGGTTGATTTCCTATTCTGTTGCTTCGAAGCGTCATTTTCCTTGCCGCTTTTCTTTAACAGAACAACCTTCAAAAACTTGGTACACCCCTTAAGAATATTCAAAAATTAATTTTCTCCTTAAAAACCTTTGGAAATAGAAAAGTGCCCTCAACGAGAACAGAGTTCCTAGGTTTTAAAAGTCAGCCCTTATTATTTTCCACAAATTTGGCTAAATTTTAGACCTAGGACTTTTGAGCCTGCGTTGTTGAAACCATACCCTTTCATTATTCTGCTGTGTATGTAAACATCAGATTGTAGGTACTGACGCAAACTCACGTGATAGTCAGCGGTAGCTATAAAAGATCATGATCAAATGTTCATCTTATAGAATCCGGATTTTGAGATGTGTTGGAATGCGTGTGGGAATTGCTTACCTCACGAAAGCTATTGTATGGAAACAAGTCCGGTGAACCCCTCCTTTTAATGTTCCAATATGATAATAACATTGAAAGGAATCAAGCCTATGAAAGCATTGCCATGGAAACTGCCAGTGATGAAATGACACATACTTTTGTATAACCAATGATTATAAAATTCAACCCTGTAAAAGTGTTCAACTGGCCTTGGTCAGTCTTTCTGTTGTATTCTTTCAAAGTTACAAACCATCAAAAAGATGAAAACTCGTACGAGCCACGGTGAAAAGAAAAGGGATGATGGAAAAGTGACAAATGACAACAAACTCATTTTTCTTCCATAGACTGTTTAACCCCCAAGAGTGATTGATAGCTAATTTCTCCTTACAGTATAACCCCTGGATCAAACAGTAATGTCAGAAGAATAAAGAAAATGAAGCTCTTGATTATTAAATAAATTCTCCTTCTCAGAAACCTTGAAAATGTACGGAAAAGAGTTTAAAGAATATACATACTGATCAACAGTAGGGTGTAAAGGGTTCATTACCTCAAGTGATGTCATGTATCCTGCCAATTTCTTGACCACACCCTCAAAGCGTATTGTGTCGACAGTGGGACGGAGGACAAAACAGACATTGAAAAGAAGGGCATTCCGGGAATATTTGGCATTTTCTATACTGATTGGACAACCAATAAACTTGTGACCAAGAGCGTTACTAAAAAAAAGATATGCAAAATAAAATATCAATAAATAAAAATGTTGAATTCATATCAGGAAAACACTTGTATGCCCTCCTTAGCCTCAACTAGATTTAAAGTCATAATTTGAATAATTTATATCAACAAAGTTGAAATGGTGAATTGGCCACCATTACGATTATAATATAGCCATCTGCTCCGATGAAGGGCTAACGCTCGAAACATCAGCTTTTATAATTGTAACGGTGGCCAATTTACCATTTCAACTTTGTTGATATATACAAATTATTTCGTTACCCCCACCGACGCTGCCCCAAACAGTTTCTTTAGAAACTATCAGCCTTTATTCATTTATAAGATTTAAAGTCAGGCATGGTATCAGGTCTAATAATATTTGAATGAAAATCGCTTATTAACCCTTTAATTCTCAAGATGTTGTTGTCAATTCTCCCTTCTTGCTGCTTAACACATTTCCCTGTGATTTAGTTATGAAAATTTGGTGTTGGATCAGTATAGCGACCTCTACCTGATAAGTTTGATTATTACACGACTCGGGCAGTCAGAGGGCCAATAACTAAAATCAACTGATCAAAATGCTCTATTGCCGGTCAATATTCTCTCAGTATTGGACCAGGCACTGTCCTGAATGGTCCCGAATGATACCGCACTTGTGTCCCTTTGAACTTCAGTCATATAATAAATCTCTTATTAACCAAGCTTGCTCGGGACCGTACTGGAAGAATATCGGCCCTTGGTCTTTTTTGTACGGACCACTCGGTCCGTACTGTCAAGACCTTGGGCCAATATTCTCCCAGTAAAGCCCTCGTGCTTGGTTACTAAGATATATGTATTCTCATTACCTGTTTGTTGGATAATGTCTGCATATCATAAGGAGAAGTGAAAAGTTTATCACTTCTGGGAGTTAAAGGGTTAACAAGGAATAGATCAATGTCAGTATCTGAGCAACTGCACACCCACCCTTTCCCCTAACAAAACATTAACCCTTGCTTGTTATCAGGTGACTGTTGTTCAGCTAGGTGGGGAGGGGGGGTGTCCACAGTTGCTCACTAGATTCTAACATTTGATCTAAAGGAATTTTCTTTCACAAATCATTTAGAAAACTGTCTCTACAGCTGCTGTGATTAGCGAAAAAGTATAATGGATTAGAGGCGTGATCTGTTACGCTTATATATAGAACGTTTAGACCCAGTTTTCATGCTGTTTCCTCGGTGCCAAATGCATGTTCCACACCCCCCTCAGATAATTTAGCGAAAACTACCTGTAGACTTACACTGTGATCAGCTTGCTCTGCAGCTCAGGTTTTGGGATTATGTAAACAGCTACGCAATCAAACTCCTCCTTGGAGATGAAGTCTTCTGGGACCTGTAAGTCAAAAGGAATAAAAATGTCTGGGCATTTCAAGGAACCGCGATCATTTTCTAAGCTGTCAGATCAACTGACGAAAGTTGGCTAGTTCAGTGTCAAACATTTAACCTGGTACACGATTTTTGGCCCTGCAATAGGATGGAATTCAGAGAACAAGATACACTCTAGATCTCCACTGCTATCCATCGGGGATCAGATGATTTTGAAATATTTAGCTTCGTAAAACTACAAGAAGTTTTTCGAAGGCCTAAAAAGTCTTGTGCGCCATTGTTGTTTTCAGATTTAGTCTCCAGTCTCTCCCTTTCAGAGGTGTGAGCGCGAAACTTGAGCGAAACATGGGAAGTAAAATGGCGGCTCACCGTGAGCGCAAAGTACACGGACCTTTGTCGTGGAAATATTGTGAGGATTTGCAAAACTTTTAGCTAGGATAATATGTATGGGCTGTTTACGAAGCTTTCAGAATACGTTTGGGGAGCGTCAGAGGATGAAAATGATGACGTTCCCAAGACGGGACTGAGGAATGAAACAGCTGATTACAATAACAAGCTCAAAACAGACAAGCCACAATTAAAGAAAGACCTCTTTGGTAAAGTGACGAGGCTTTATGATGGCTCAGGAGTGATCGATGAAGAGATTTACTTCACTTTTGATTGCATTATTGGTGGTGATCGACCAGAAGTTGGTATGGAAGTTCACGTTGAGGCTTCACGTGTGACTAAAACTTCAGGCTGGAAAGCCACGCGTGTGCAAGTTACAAAGGAATGGAATCTTGACGACGCAAACAGCGCTTCTTCACCTTCTACAGAAACGTGTATTGGCGCAATAACAAAAATCGCGCATGATTCTGGGGTTGTAGATAATGAAATTACTTTCCCACTATCGTGTGCTAGATTTGGGTATTCACCGGTCCAAGGAGACATGGTTAAGTTGGACCTCGCGAAATTGTCAGATGGGCAAGATGAAGTCCGGGGGGTGATGCCACTGCGAGAGAAAAGTTTCACAGGGACAGTGACATATGTGTCATCAGGGTTTGGTTACATTGATAAAGAAGTCTTCTTCACAATAGGGGTGTGTCCACCGGGGTTCAGGCCTCGTCAAGGGGATATTGTAAAAGTGACAGCTATTGAATCATATCAGCGCACTTCTGTATGGAGAGCCATTAAGGTGGAAACAAAACGTACTGCTCCTCTGGTGGCAAGGTATCTTTAAATTTGTTGGTTATCATGTGTCATAACTGATCTACGCTGAATACAATATACCTCTTACCAATTGATTTTGAGGTCTGTACCATAAATTATGGACCAGCCTTTTTCTGCTTGGATTTATAGGCCAAGTTAGGGCTTGACACTAACTTTTCAACTAACTAGCCAAGTGGCCAGTGACATCTTAGGTGATACAAGGATTTCAGTTTGTTTACTGGCCAAACTGAAGAGTAAAGCAAAAAATGGCATTTTTAATAGTTCTTTTTTATAATATTCCCTTACTGAGGAACATGAATAAAGCAGTCAACCTGTATTGAGCCATCACCCTGCCATTTCCTGTGTTTAGCTGGTTAATATAGGTTTAACTGTAGTTTGGTTTTATCAACTAACTTGATAATGTTACTTTGCCAGCGTAAAGAGCTAATAAAGGTGACATTTCCAGTATTTGTCTTTCATCAGACTGAAGTGAAATTTGATTGACAAACTGCCTACAAATGAACTTACAATGGTCAGAGGGCAAGTGAATGCTACACTTTTTGCTCAAAGAAATGATCAATTGATTTTATCTGGGACTCTAGGATTTTAACAAATAGTTATTTGTTTTATCTACCAGTCCATCACCAGGTAGCCAAATGTTTATGGGTAATAGGATGGCTGAGCTTTTAAGAGACAAAGGTGGAATAACAATTGCAAATCAACTTGATTTTGGAAGTGTCATGGTTGGAGAAACAAAGTCGGTACATGTGTGGATAAGGTAAGGATTGTTGAACAGACGTCTTGAGTTTCGAGCATTCATAAACTTCCATTCACGATTTTAATCATTGGCATCCACAAATTTTTGTAATATCAAGGGAACCATCTTTAAGGGGGTCTTAGGGCATGCATTTTGAGAAGAGCATTAACCCTTTTAATCCTAAGATCTCATTACGAAATGTTTGTAAATGTTTGCTGTACAATTCTTCTGATTTTTTTTTTTCTCTCAAGGATTTGGTATTGGGTTCACTAACAATCCTCTGACTGATTTTTTTTGTTATTCCTATCTCTTGTGACTGCTTGATTTTCAAGGTTTTCAATAAACGTGGGTTAGCTGTAGTCTACAATCATCTATAAGATCTCTTATATGAGCTTCTGTTTAGCCTGCAAGCATTCTCTTGTGTACTGGTTTTTTACAGCCTGCTATTACACCATTGTAAAGAGAAATTCTTTCTTGGTCACCCAATTGAGTTAAAGTGTTAAAACCTTTGAAAGATTTTAGTAGAACCATTAAATCAATATATTTTATTTGTCTGGTTTGTCTGACAAAGAACGTTTGACTGGCAAAACAACTTTTCCTTTTGGCTCAGACAATGACCTTCAACTGAGTGCTATTAATGTTATTCCTTTTAAAAACTTACAGGTTACCCTCATGTCTGAACAATCGCCTGTAATCTTAGAACCTCACTTTACATATTAATGTATCTATTTTTCTTTTGCAACAGCAACAAGGGTGAGAAAGTACAGACATTTCTGTCCTGTTCATCAGTCAGAGATGATCCTCAGTTTTCTGTCCAATTGGGAAACAAAATTTTTTGTGAATCAGATAATACTTGTAGTCAGCAGATGAACAGATCTCTGTCCATTGATGAGATGTTACTTGAGAGTTCTTTGTTGGCACCTGGTATGGAAATTCATCCCCAGCAAGCCAAGCAAGTTATTGTTGAGTTCAGTGCAAAGTAAGAGGACATTTGTTTACACACAGTGATTAATCAAATAAGTCTATTTATTTAAGAGCTCTTTATGGTATTTTTTGACTGTTTTTAGGAGTGTGGTTAATTAGAATAAAACCTGACTGAAAATGCTTGTACAGGTGGACGTATGCCAAAGAAATGTTAATAAAAATTGCATTTAGGGAAAGAATGGCATAACACCCCCCCCCCTTCCCCACCCATTTCCAAGATGCAAATATTATTTATCTATTCTGTCTCCAATGAATTTCATGATTTTTTAGCTGAGAATTTGGTACAAAAATCAAATTCTCTTTTGACAGAACCTTGGGCAGAGTGAAGCACCTTTTTGTGTTCAACTTTGGTGACTTTGAGATTGGACGATATGTCATTTGTAATGTAGAGGATCCTCAGCAGGCTGTGCTGAAACCCTCAGCTCCTTACCAGAGGTCTAAAAAGAGAACCAAAGAGGCTTGGAAGAAGGTTGCCAATAGTAGCATGGGAGAAGAGTGGGTTATACCAGGAGAAAAACCGATAAGGTATTGCTGATTTTTTAAAATATTCCTAACATTCAAGTGCTGCTACTACATTGACTCTTTTGTTACTTTTAAGGAAAAGAAAAATTTTCTTGCCCAAGAAGCTATCACAGTACAATATTCCCAGAGACATAAGGAGGTGCCTACTTGATGGTGAGGATCTGAGTTCTACTGTGCCAGCATTAAGAGAGGTATAAGATCTTTGATATACAACATCACAAATTCTGTGAAAGTGTAGTGTGATTGTCAGGGTGAGTGTAGTCCTGAGGAAGACTGTTGTCGGTGGTGGCGACTGATGTTTCGACAGCCTGTGCAGAAGTCATCATCAGAGCAAAGGAAAGTCAAAGAGTCACTTGACTCTGATGATGACTTTGGCACAGGTTGTCGAAACGTCAGTCCCCACCCCTGATGACAGTCCTTCTCAGGACTGCACTCACCTGGACAATCACACTACACTTTCACATGTTACCCCCTCATTCAAACCATTTACTGCATCACAAATTCTCTTACTCTTTTGATGTTTTACACTATAACATCAATAAGCATATCATTCTCCATACCGTTCTCCAGACATTTCTTTAGGTGCTGACAAGGAGAATTTGTTTTAGTAATAAAGAGCTTCTTTATTTAGCGATCATTCCTGTTATTCTCCTGACTTTAATATTTGATTCAAGGGTGATATTGTAAGGAGAATGTAGATGCTGGTCACTCTAAGGGTCGAAGGAATGAGTCAGTTAAAAGCTACCCTAAGCAGTCCATCTCCAGTTTTTGCAAATCCATTTGACAGCTAACATGCTTATGTTACAGTATGTCCTTTTTTCTTGTGGCAGCCACTTAATTTGAAGACCTATGCTGCCAGGTTTTCAACACTTCTACATGCTGAGGAGCTCCAAATGGAAGTAGACATGAGGGAATTTGATATGGAAGGGGTAAGTTAACCATTTGTACCATAATGCTGATAACACTTTAAGTTAGAGGTTAACACCTTAAAGTTCCAGAAGTCTGTTTGATTTAATGTTTACAAGCACTCCAGTGGTTTCTATAACTTTTTCAGTAAGCCACAGATGATGCTGTAATGTACTGCTGTGTCACAAGGCAAAACCCAAACAAGAGAGAAGAAAGTCGCTGGCTAAACAGAGGGGAAGGGGGTGTTAGGTTTTATGGGTCACGGTAGACTGCTGGTTACCGGCTTTTATAGAAACCCTTGGTACTTTCCATAACTGTGATACTTAATCCAAGAAAAAGGTAATTAGGATAAAGATGTTTTGGTTGAGTGAAGTTTTTTAGATCACAAAATAACCTGATACTCTCTAAGCAAACTGACACCAGATTGTGAGGTGGCCAGAAATGAGAATTGGTTCTCGCATTGTGAGGGTTGAAATGTTAGTAGAAGAAGTACATGTGGATCAGATGAGACTAAAGAGCTGGTGCAAAGATAACCTCCAAATATGTGAACAAGTTTAACAGAAAGCAAAAACAATTGTGATCTAAACAATTACAACAAAAACATCAAACTTGGGAAAGACAAGTGTCCTCCCATGTTGCCTCTTTCCAACCCCAGAACTCCTACAAGTGACCAAAGTAGAATTTCTCCTTACACTGTCAATACAATGATATGCAGACAAGTGATGAGAATAAAGAAAAATATCAATTTGGGGATTATTATATTTGTTGATCCAAT